CACTCTCTCTCTTTTTCTTTCTTCCTTCCTTCTCTCCAACTTTTGTGATGGCTATTAGAATATTACCGGTCTTCTGAGGAGAAAAAAATCTATTTTGCTCTGTTTTGCCTGGGATCTTTGCTATATTCCAAAAGGTAGCAGTGAATTTCTTTTCAAAATTCAGTTCTTCGTTCAGCCTGACAGCAGCCTCTGACATGGAGAAAGAGCCCAACAGATTTATCTGAATTTTGACTCATTCCTTGCCCAATAAATTATTCTAAATCACACTTTCAAAGAAAAATAACACAGCACATCCCCCTGGGCTCCTACACACACACACACACACACACACACACACACACACGCAGAGCAGTGAAGTAATTTGACCCTACACTTACTTGGATGGTACAGAATGTCATTTATTCAGTGACCCTGCATAAGTCATTTAACCACCCTCTGCCTCCATTTGTTCTGCTGGTAAAATAAGGAGACTAGACTAGAAGTCCTTTCCACATCTGTAATTTCATAATTCCACTAAACCATTTCCATAGTAACAAAGTCTGCAAATTCTAAACTAAATTTTATAGCTTACCTGATTGAAGTTTTATTTCTGGAAAAGAGGAGGCTCATAAAGTAATCTCAAGAATGGAAAACAAAATTAGCAAATAATTAGATAATCTGATCCTTATCAAGGAAACTGTTGCAAATTATTCATAACTTTACCTTGACAATGTCAGGATTAATAAGTTATGAAAAATAATTTGCCCCAAAGATTTTGCTTTACAAAAAGCCCATTACACTGCCTTTTCCTCCCCTTCCCCTTTTTCCTATTCTCTTTTTAAAGTGGTCTGAAGGCAAATTTGTCTTTTCTTCATGAATAATAGTACCACTGGTGAAAATAGCTGTTAGAGAGTGAACGATCATGGAACAAATCCCGGACCAATAAAGCAGTGACTTTGAAAAGGAAATTGCCCTGCTTAAGTGATAGATTCCTTTTCAGCCGTCATGACCCAAGTTATGAGGGAGTCCAGGGACTCGGGTCCTGCCCTTATAGACCAAGCAGCTGCAAAGCCGCACTGGGAGCTCGCTGAGACTCTCTGTGAAGGGCCAAAGGCTGCCTGCTCACCCACCCCACCAGGTTGCACGCTGCAGCCCTACAGAACTAGGGGCTGAGCAGGAATGTGTGTGTACTTCACATGAGTCTCCCCAAGAGTCCCTTTCAACTAGCCTGGATCACCCTTCCTTCTGGTACCTACCCCAAGACCTACTCTGAGTTCACCAGCTCTGCGCTACTCAGTATTATTTTTCATCATTTCATGTTTGCCTTTTTCCTTCCCAGGGTCTGTAAGATCCTTGAGCACAGGAAGCAACAATTATTTGACATCCATCCATTAGAGATCCACGAGAAATCCCCATGGAGATGATGAGACCAGTGAAAGGGAAGAACAGAGCTTCAAGTTTTTTCCTAAAAGAAGAGATGGGATGTTTGAACAACACTTGCTCTCTGATCCTTAGGCAGTGTTTTCTAGATGAAAAGCTGAGATCTGGGACAAAATGAGAATTCTTAGCTGCTGTTGTCCCCGATTTAGCAGAGGATGCTCTGCTATTAAGACCCAAAGCGATGCTTTGACTTGTTGTCTCCTAGACTTGGCTAAGAAACAGCTTCAAATCCAACATATCTTTGTATCCTTAAAAAGATGAACAGTCAGAGCTGTGGGTGCCCCTCCCCAGCTTTTTCGGATGAGTGATTGCAACATCAGGCCATCTATACTCAAGACACCAGATACTTATGTCTTGCCTACCTACATTCAAGGCAGTCACTTCAGAAAGAACATGCTCTGCATTCATGAGCATGTGGTGGTTCTGTATAGAAATGTTTCAAATTTATTTGTTTTAATTCTAAACTAACTTTTACATCTTCCTTTATAATACTGTTGGTGATAATTACTAATATTCCAAAAGGAATTTAATGTTTTAGAAGACACTTAGTCCTAGAAGCTATCAAAATATAGTGAGCTTCTTAGTTTTTGCTTTCAAAAAGAATCACAAAGTGATTGCACCCACTGAAAAAATAAAGTTAATTGGCAAATTTAGGGATCACTTCAAAGCTATCAACTCTTGGGCTGATTTAACTGCCTTGGATAAGTCTGAGTCTTTTTTGTAAACTCCTCACGGTTCCATGGGCCATGTGAAGATCAGGCTCCAGCATGAGTGCCTCATGCATACTTCTGTTAGAGTATTTATCACTTTACACTGCACCATGATTACATGTATGCATTGGTTCCTTACAAAGTTGTGTCATGAGTCCTGTAGTGGACACAGAGCTGTTAAAGCCTCAAGCGCCTGCCATTCCCTTTTCCCTTTCTGAGGGAACCTCAGGAAGTTTCCTAAACAAAGGGGGCCAGGCCGTGTGCCCTATGACCCCAATAATCTGGACACTGATGATTGGCCCAGAAATAGGCACCTGACCTCAGTTCTGCCCATCTACAGGGTGATCAGCCACCTATAAGGAGGTCTGATACAAAAGCTCAATCAAACTGCAGCACTCAGAGCCCTTCTGAACCAATTAGATCCTTTCTCTAAAGGAGTTTAAATGTGAGGTCAACAGAGAGCTGAGCAGTTGGTAGCAGGAGCAGAAGCCAAAGGACACCAGGAGAAAAACAGGGAGCAAGAGGAGCTGAATCACCCTGGCGGCTAAGCCTCTTAGTAGGGACCGGCAGATGCCTGCTGCTGAGGGGGCAGCAAGATAACCCAGTCCCACAGCCGTATCCTGAATGACCTTCCAGTTCCTGAATTTCAATCCAGTTTTCGTGAGTCCTGGCTGGGTGGACTTTCCGGAAGGCTTTTCGGAGACATGTGGCTGAGTAGTAGAGATTCCAATCAGCCTTCCTTCCACAGTTAGCCCCCATTCCTCAGGGTTAACTCAGTGATATCTGGTCCTTGAAACCCCAAAAGCCCAATCACCAGAATTCCCAGGGCCTACCACTTTGCCTGGCGTACAACAAGTGCTAACTAGCGGCGGGTTCTTGGATGGCCTGACCATCTCCAGTAAAAAGCCTTCTTAAAATGAAGAAATCATTTACAATAGAAACACTGATCAGGGTCATCTCCAGATTCCCAAAATAATACTATAGTGCAAAAAATATGTTCAGCTCATTCCATCTGCCTATTTCCAAGCTCATATACATTGCTACCATAAATCTATCAAAGAAGGGAATGTCACATTCCACAGAACTGCAAAGAGCATTTTGATTTCAGGTAAAGGATGTTTGGATGACTTGACTTTCACTTCACTTAATGTTAAATCACAGTAATGTTAGTAAAAGCAATTTTCCACCCACACTAACTTCACTGACAACCTTCAAAGTAGCTGATCTTTGACTTTTAAGAAGTTAATAATATGCGATCTTCACTCTCCTGTGCCACACACATTCCCCATGTCTGTTGTCTGTACCAGCTACCTGAAGAACACATACTCCCCAGCAACCAGATGAGTCATCAAATAAGAGGTGCATGGATGTAAAACTGGGCCTGTTCATGCTTTCCTTGTCCTCAGCTAATAAAATAAAAGAGGTCCCACTGAATTCTGGTCCACTGGCATCCGGAAAATAGGTTAGCAAAGACATACCTCATTTAGTGCATGATTTTAAAAGTAGAGCTAATTCCACACCCCATGTGAATGGAACATATTTACGGTTACAGCCATGCACAGGGTGTGTAAGGACTTGCCCTCCTCTTGTCCTCTACAAAGGAAGGTTTCTGGTTGCTCTTGGTGGTGAGCTAACCAACAAAAGGAATGCTGAAAAGGTCTCACCTCTCCCATTCACAGAGCTCGGGAAGGGGGCTGGGTTCTTGCTCGCTGGAAACGCAGTACCGAACCGGTGCTTGCTGAGATTTCCCACCGGCATATTTGAAAATCTGTATAAAGTAGGTTTTCCCCAACCTCCCCTGACCTCTCTTTGATAAAGTGATCTTATGCCTCTGGAACTGGGATTTTGAATGTATGTGCCTACTCCGTGTCTGGTATTATATTACGACAGCATGAAAATGAAGCCTAGGACTGAGGAGCCGGCCAGCCTCAGAAGCCTTCTTCATTGCCTGCCATGTAATACATGATATGCAAAGCCTCTGACTTCAGCCAGCAGATATTTGGAGACCGTGTTGGCCCTAGCATGGGGACTAAACTAATGTGTGTTTAGGTCAGAAAGCGAATCAGAAAAGCTACTGGAGGGCACGTCACGGAGTGAGAGCCCTATAAATGCATCCCCATTCGCAGCGTCCCCTGGCAAACACTCGGCTTCCCTCCCTGGGCTGCTCCACATCTCTCCTTGTTGGTGCTAGGAGAACTCCAGCTGGTAGCTCCTCTTCTGCCGCTGACTTCTGCCCAGCAGAAAAGCGAGAGGGCGAGACACCAGAGGGGGAAGGAACGCCTTCGACAGGCGCGCGGAAAGCCCAGCGGAGCGCTGCACCAGGCAGAGCGCCCTCCCTCCTAGCGCGGCGCGCAGAGGCGAAGCCCGGCGCGGGCGCCGCAGCCAAGTTCGGATTGCCCCCTTTGGTCGATCTGAGCCGAGCTCCGCACATTCCTCCGGATCTAACCCGCGAGGAGAAGGCGCAAGCCCGGCTGCTTCTTCACCGGCTCAGCGCTCTCCCTCCACCCCCGGGAGGGGCGCCTGGCGTCACCCACTTGCACCCCGCACCCCCACCTCCGGAGCTCCGGCGCTCCCTCGCTGCTCTCCTATCCCTCCCCCGCCGCCGGCCCGCCGCAGAATCTCGACCCCTCCCCTGCCCGGGCCCCGCGCCCCCCCTCCCCCACCCCGGCCCCCGGGCCCCGGGCTCTCGACGAGCAGCCTGCGCTCCTGGCGCCCTCATGTCTTCAAGGGACAGTCCGCGCGGGTTGACGTGGTGTCTCGTTCGGATCTCCAGGCAAGACCTCAGCTCCCGCGGCAGCATCAGACCGGCCCGTCTCCCCGCCGCTGCGCCCCGAGGAGGCGCGGAGTGCCGCGGCCGCCGCTGAGCCGCCCGCTGCGCCCGGGACCCGCGCAGCCTCAGCCCAGAGCGCGGCGCGCGCAGCCCTGTCACCCCTCGCTCGAGGCAGGGGCGGCCGCTCGGACTTCGGCTCCTGGGGGTGCGGGAGGCCGGCGGGGGAGGCGTCGGCCGCTCTCGCCCTGCTGGCGGCAGCGGCGGCTGGAACCTTGGCCGCCGCCTCCTGTGCGCCCCGCTGCCCCGCGCGACCCCAGGATTGCGAACTCTTGCCCCCGACCTGTTGGGAGGGGCTCCGCGCTCCTGCCCTCGGCCCGGATGGGTCTCCTGGCTGGGACTCGGGCCACCTGGAGTTAATGTCCAACTGGGGGTCTGCGGAGACCGGATCCGAGGTGAGTGAGGGCGCAGGCGGGGGTGGCGGGGGCGGGGGGCGCCTGCGTGGCCAGCGCCAGCGGGCAAGGGGGGCTCCCGGGCGCCTGAGGCAGAAGGGCGCGGCTGGACCCCGGAGCGGCAGGGAGAGTGAGAAGTAGGTGAGAGAGGGAGGCGAGAGAAGTTGAGCGGGAGAGGCTAGCCCCGCGGAGGAACAGGTTGCCTTTTCTCCACGTAGGCAAGGATCTACGGAGCCCCTGGGCACCGCAAGCCTGAGAGGAACAGTTTCCTTCCCCATCGCGGCAGGGCGCCCCTCTGCCAAGTACCCAAACGACGTGGGGCTGGGTTCGTCTTCGAACCCACCAGAGTGCCTCTTCCAGACGTGCAGCCGCAGAGGTGTTAACACTGCCAAGAGTGTAACGTACTGTTGGGCTTGTTTCGGTCTATTCCGAGGAAAAGCTCAGGCCCGGGGAGCGACTGCTGCAAAGGTGCTGAGAATCTAAAAATAGCGGGCTCATCTGCTCCCGGCGAGGTCCTGCGGGGCTGCGTTCTTCGCCCAGTTCGAGCCCGTTTGCTCGTACTTTCCTAATGCCCTCATCCTGTCGAGGTCAGGGGAGGGGACAGTCCTGGCCTCAGGGTTCCGTCTCCAGCAGACTCTTGGGACTTCTGAGGTCTGGGCTAGGCCATAGAGGTGATTATTTTGCCGACTTCCTTTCTCCCGTGCTGTCTGCCTCCTTCCCCAGTAACACCCCGCCGCTATTTTGCACCACCTCGGGGCTGACCCCACTGTACTTTGGTTCACGCCCCATCCAGTGAAAAAGAACCTTTATCCGGCGGGAAAGGACCTTCAGCGGGTCCCCCAGCCTCCTGGCGTCGCGCTCCTTTGGCCCCGGGCAGAATCCGCCTGCGGAGCCGCCGAGAACTCCCAGGGAGGGCCGAGCGGCCCCAAACTCGCCACGCTTGCGCTCATTGGTGGGGACAAACAACTCTCGGCCCCAGCAGTGAATAGGTTAGAGCGCGCCTCCGACTCTTCCCCTGTATTTTCAATATTTACTTAAGTGTTTCAGGGAAGAGATGCAACTTCCCACCATCCCACCCCCGCGCGCACCCCTCCTACGCAGCCCTCAGAGTGGGATCCGCTGGCTTTCCTCCTTGCTCCAACCCTCCCTGTCTCACTGTGCCTTCACTTTGGTGGTGGAGCTGTCGCCTTTTCAGTGAGTGACAAAAGTCGGGGGGCCAGGAAGCCCGCCCCCCTTCCTATTCTGGAGGAGATTCCTAGCGCTCCCGGGCCGGGGCCCTCGAACAGACAGACCCCTCCCCAGCTTGCTCGCCAGAAGCGCCCGCAGTCTTCTTCCTCCCGTCCTCTTGGGTCTGGCAGTTATGGGGGTAAGAGGGGGGTAAATTCTCCATCCAAGGACACCAGGCACTGTGAAGACAAGCAATAGACCTTTCAGTAGTTTCTGTTCCCACCCGCAAAGAAAACCCTCGAATTTATAGCGAGCCCCGCCCCCACCGCCTCCGGCCTCGGCCGGAGACTTGGATCTCGCAGGCAAAGCCCAAACAAACCTCCCCAGCTGCCGCACGGGAGGCTGCGGGGGCGCTGGCGGCGGGATGGCTCGCCCCGGCAAGGCTGTCTCAGCGGCGCAGGGAAAGGGGTGTCTAAAAGGAGGTTGCCAAGGAACTACCTCAGGCGAAGTGGGAGAGGAAAGCTCGGGGCAGAGAATGGAGAGGCAGGAGCTTAAAAAGCGGGGATGTCGCTCAGGACAGGTTCCCGGGCTAGCTCTCGGATTTGGGGAGGATTGTAGCGGGAGCGCTTGTTCTCCAGTTTTATACTTAAAATGACAACACAGCCTCCCGGCCGCTTGGGCGCTGCAGGACTCTGGCGGATTCTGGTGCCCCCTGGTGCCGGGAACTCAGAATCGACACGCGGCGGCTGCTGCAGACCTCTGGCTTTTCTGAGCGTCCTTTCCGCCCCGGGCCTGGGGACCCACAGAGGGCAGCGCCAGTGGCGCTTCCCTTTTGCCCGTTGGACCTACACCCAGACCGGGAGCGGCCTGCCTGGCACGGGCGCGAAAGCGGGGTCACCTGGTGCGGCCGACTCCGGGAGGAAAGCTTGATTGGCGCACGTGGTAGCACATTAAACTATTCGCGCGTGTAGCAAGGGCGAGGGTTATGTGGAAAACACGTCCGGCAAACGCAGATGTGTTTTAGGAACACGACAGAGAGACGAACGGGGAAGCCTCGGGTTGGAGCCCAGACTGACTCAGGACAGCGTCCCAGGAAACCGCGGCGCGCGCGGAGTCCCCAGACCCCCGCCCCTGTTTGCTGCCTGCACAGACCCGGTACTAAAGAGCCACTAGGACCCGAGCTGGCCCCGGTGGAGGAAGGAAGCTCCTTCGAGGTGCTTTCGGCGCCCAGCGTAGGGCGGGAACGGGAGCCTCCTCTGGCGAGGCGGAGAGTGTTGCAGTTTCCTCTCTTGCCAGCTTCGCCACACTTCTAATTGAGGCTCTCAGCGTCCAATTTAAAAAGTCCTCGGTCGTCAAGCGGAGGGGGGGAGGGAAGACCTTCTTAATGCGGAAGGGAAATCTGGTGCCTCTGTCGCTTTCTGCTGGCGGGCACCGCGATTTGGAACGGCGCCTTAGCCCCGCGCCGCCCTGCGCCCCAGCCCGCCACTATTTCACTCGCACCCCGGGTCTGGCGGGGCCGGAGGGGCAGGAGGGGCAGGAGGGGCAGGAGGGGCCGGCGCCCAGAGAGCGGCAGGCTTCGCGCTGCCCGGATCCCTGCGGCAGAAGCGCCTCTCTGCCCTCATTTTGCAAGTCGTGGTAGTTTTCCTAGGCCTGCGCGCGGGACCCAAAGGCGTCGCACTTTCCCGGGTTTTCAAGCCAGCCCGCGCAGGGCGAGGGCTCTGAGCCGCGGGTCTCTCGGAGTTCTAGTCCCCGCACGTCTCCAGAGCCCAACAGCTGCATAGAACAGACGCCCAAGGGATGGAAAATGCATTCGTCTCCGCAGCGGTGGGAGGTGGCGGCCGAATTAAACGGTTTCCTGGGTGGCCAGCCCCCGGCCGCGGCCGGAGTTCGGAGTGGGGGGCTGGGGACGTCCTGGAAGGGAGGCGGGAGCGCCTGGGAACTACAGTGGCACCTCGGTTCACAAACTTGATTCTTTGCATGATTCTGGCCACAAGCCGAGTTGGAGAAGTGAGTCAAATTCAATGGTTAGGTTCAGTATCGTCCAGACAGGAAAGGGTTGAGGGTTGTTTTGGGTTTTGGTTTTGTTTTTTTTCATTATCTGGAAACTGTCTTTCTCTTCCCCAAGAAAAAAATTCAAGGAGGTTTTCCAAAGAATACGCTTTCTTGGGGAATGCAGTGGGGGGTAGTCAACGCCATTAATTTCATAATGTGAGGAGTCTCTTCAGTCACTTGTTCCCTGGAGACTAGCACACTGCGATTAGGAAGGGACAGGGTAGCTCCGAAACCCAAGGTGGCTGGTCCCTCTCCACCCCTCTTTGGGTGGGGCTTAGTCCCGAGTTTACTGTGGCTTTTTCTCCTCCACTCCCCGCCTTGTGGCTCTCCTTCTCAGAAGTGTAAGGCCTGAGAAGCCAAAAGGAGCCCTCTTGCTGAGACCGGGAACCTCCATGGGGTCTCAGTCTAAGCCTTAGGGTGAGGTGTAGCTGAGCAAGAGTTCAGGCGACCAGGGTTGTGAGGTGCAGGGAGCTAGCAACGCCTGAAGGGAATGCGACGGAATTTCACGTAGCTACAAAAATAAAATCAAGAGTTTTAGATTAGGATTTTCCGGGGGCTGGGGATTTAGCTCAGCGGCAAAGCGCCTGCCTGGCAAGCGCAAGGTCGTGAGTTCGGTTTCCGGTACCGGAGAAAAAAACCAAAAAACTAGATTAGGATTTTCCTAGACAAATACAATCCCAGACCAGCGGCAATGGTGAAGCATTTATTGTGCTCACCGCCATAATATCCCCCTGGATCTTTTCCAGCGTCGACTTTCATAACCTTAAGAGGTGTGATTGGTATTTTTAACCCAGTCGATGCTTCAGAAGTTAAGTAACGTAACTCAGATATTTCCATGCAGACCAAAAGTCTCCAAGTTCCTACCAGTGGCAGCGACAACTAGGTGGTAAACTTCAAAGGATGGGGGCAGCAGGGAGGGTAGTGGTTCCACCGAGCTCTGGCCCCTGTACACACACACCCGCCTGGGAGAAGCACAGTCCCAGGCAGACACCTGATTTTATTGCCAAAGGCTTGTCGCTTGTTTGGGTCAAGAGCTGGCTCTAAAGCCTGAGGGGTAGTTGCCAGGCCAGGAAGAAAAGTCTCTGGCTGGGGGCCAGGATGGGGGCTACGGGATTTACCCTCCAGGTAATGGGGTGATGGCGGGGCGCTCCAGTAAAGGGGACAGGCCAGCGATTTCTGTGTTGCTTTGTTGCAAGGTTTCCTGGCGGGGACGGTGGTCATGCTCGAAAATCTGGCCGCTGGGTGAGGTGCCAGCCACACCCGGGGCGCACCGGGAAGAGGAGCCGTCGGAAGCCTTGGAAGGAGGGCGGAGGGTGCCCAGGGAAGCCCGGGCAGAGGAGGGTGGTGACGAGTTTGGGCGAAACGACCCGCGGGGATGCTGGGCCAGGGCAGCGCCACAGCCCTGGGCGCCCCAGTCTAACTCGCATTCTGCCGTTCTCTCCCCGCCGCCCCGCCGCCCGCCCGCGCAGGTGCCGCCGCCGGACGGGACTCTAAGATGAAGTTATGGGATGTCGTGGCTGTCTGCCTGGTGCTGCTCCACACCGCGTCCGCCTTCCCGCTGCCCGCCGGTAAGAGGCCTCCCGAGGCGCCCGCCGAAGACCGCTCCCTCGGCCGCCGCCGCGCGCCCTTGGCGCTGAGCAGTGACTGTAAGAACCGTTCCCTCCCCGCGGGGGGCCTCTGGAGGACCCCGGCACCCCACCCGCCGCACACACGCACCCCAAGCCAGCTCTCAAGGCTTCGTGTCTCCGGGCCAGGCCCTGCGGGTCCTAATGTCCCCTTGGGGTGTGTGGCTTCCCAAAGGCCCCAGGTGCCTTGTCAATGAAGCAGTGTGGTTTTCCTGGCCCCAAGGGGATTCATGCGGACCTTTTATCACGCTGAGGAGCAAACATTCCTCCGCCACTATCACCGCAACAACACACACAAGCTGTTTCCCTTTCTCCCCTTTTCTATCACAGAGACACATTCCCATTTTTTTTCTTTCTCTCGTAGCAGTTTGTTTTGCTGTGGCTGGATGTGCTTAATTCTCAGAACTATTGCACTTTCAAGAGGCTGGCTTTTCACAAAACCAAGCCAGAGACAGAGAAAACACAGAAGGGCCTAGGTTTTCAGAGTATGCATCTGGGGAGTGTCAAGTCAGTTCAGAAAAGTTCCAGTTCTAGAAAGATGTAAAGGTAAATAGTGCAGGCTGGGATGGGGAAGAATCTGTAGTTCATAGCCCCGTGAGCCAAGGTAAAACAAATGCTAACTTGTATAAGAAAAAAAATTATTCTTATCAGAAAATGTCAGTGACTTACCTCTCAAAAGTGAACACATTTCAGAAGCAAGTCACTTAGAGTGTGTCAAGTGACTTGACATAATTTACTCTCTGTTCCTCAAGACTTGAGCATAAAGTGAGGTGCGCTAGATTACAAGTTATAAAGAGACCACAGGGGAGGTATGCAGGTAACAAAGGTAGCAATAGACAATTTGACACAACCCCAAAGTAAAGTAATAGGGAGCTGCACGCCAGGATGCCACACTGGCTTTGCCCCACCCCCAAATGTTCTTCTAGCTTGAAACATACTCTGGTCCTAATGATGGGAGCAGCCTGGCGCACATCAGCCAAGCGCTAGGAATTCCCTAAACATGGTAGCCTTGGGCTAGCAAACACCCATGAGAGGTGAGGTACTTATTTTATGCTTAGTTATAACAAAAGCATCTTCTTGCACAAGTCCCAAGAAAGAAAAGGTGCATATTATATAGACAAAATAGGGTTTCAAGAGTGATTCAGGGTTAGAAAGAGAATGTGTTTGAAATTTAGGTACCTGCTCCAAGAGCTTCCATCATTTAATTACATACACCTATCTTTGAAGGCTTTCCCTTCGATCACAAATTTGGTGTACATAATTGTTCTCCAATAAAAATTAAATTTAAAATGCCCTTTGTGCCATTGTCTTCAGAGCAGTGTGCAGTGGGAGTTAAGTAACTTATTTTTCCTTCAGTGAAACAGGTTAAGTCAGGAACAGACACAAAGTGGCAAGTTACTAACTTGGATGTTTAAGAGAGAAAAATGACTATGCCTGATTATAAAGCTGATTAATTATTTAATGGAGGTTTAATGGCCATTTTAGTATCTTATCTACCTAACCTCATTAAATACTGGCTTCTGGTTCTGGCTGTACTTTCAATTAACTCTGGAACAAATTGCTTACTTTAGAATCTATGAAGAGTCTACAACCATAGACTAAAGGGAGGCCTTTCTGCTCCAAAATGCCAGTGGCTATGAAATTTGCTCCTTGGCATTTCGTACTCCTGTCCCAACTGTCGTTTAGGAGGAGATTCAGGAGCAGAGACTAGACTCACCCAGGGAACTTTAAAATTTGATGCTGGACCTCACCCCAGAAGATTCTGGTAATTAGTTTGGGGTATGGCATGGGCATCTTTTAGACATTCCCCAGGTGGGTCTAATATGCAGCCAGGGTTGAATCGCTATAGCTTGATAATACTAAGAGAATCTGCAGTTCATAAAAGGTACAACCCACACAGTAAGCAAGTTAGCATTGATCCTACTGATTGCATGAGGGAGGGCATGACGTGTGGGAAAGGAGTTACTTCCCTTCCCCCCGCCCCACTGATGGTAAGTCATCAGTAGACAAGATTCTGACTGTTCTGTTCTATTTGAACCAGCACAACATACTCAATTCTGTTTATCTATAGGAAGACTCAATAGATCCTAGAGGAAACCTGACAGAGAACTGTTCTCAAAGAGAAAGTGAACTGAATCCTAAGCCAAATTGACTTCTTTCCAGGTATGTTCAATTTGGTAGCAAGCTGTCAGTGCAGGGAAGGCAAAATAATGACAGTGTGCAGACTTTGAACTCTTAACCAGTGTCAACATGCCCATCATCGTGCTGACATTTATATTCTGCATTATACACGGTGCAACTGGTTAAGGCTTATGTAGAAAAACATTAAGTCACGTATTTCATTTGAAAATAGAAAGTACTATAAATTCTGTCCTCTATCTCCTTTCAGATGCTTATAACTTAGTAATTGAGCAAAAGAACTTTCATTATATTAAGTCACTGTGTGCTTTTCAAGGGAACTGGAACTATACCCATTCCACACACTCACCCTCAAGAGTGCGTGTATTCTGCTGCTTCCAGCACAAATGAAGTATCCAGAATTCAATCCATACATAGCCTGAACTAACCATAATTGGTTAACTTCCTTGCCTACAGGTTGACTTTAAAGCGAGTGGCCCATAGTGGTCTCCTGTACTACCTTGTAACTTGTCTAAATTCAAGGACTTGTGATTTGCCTTTTGGAGCATCCAAGATTTTCTCCTTAGCTACCTTTGTTCACTTGTGGTATTTTTGTGCCAGTATCTTCTCCAAAGGGGCATAGAGTTAAGTGTGAGGAATCTTCAAGGTAAAACTCGCAGATATTTTAGCATTTAAAGCTGAAAGGAAACCTTTCTGGTTCTGAGATCTAAAAAGGTAAAGCAGCTTGTCCAAAGTGCCAGAGATCCATGATGGCAGGATGCAGGTCTGCTGAAACTGGGACCAGCGTTTCCCCAGACGATTGAAATGCAATTTTTGTGGGAAAGGGAAGCACCTTATTTAAGAGGAAGTTCTTCAACTAAAACCTGTCACACAGATCCCCTGAATTTATCGAAGGTTAATGCATTGTAATCTTGTTCCATATCTCAGCTCTAAATCTGTTTTACACCTAAAAGCATAGAATGTGTGTGGTTTTACAGTTGTGCAACCTGAGCATACATATCTATTCAGCAAGTAGTTAATGTGTGCCTGTGTGTGCCAGGCTGTGTCCTCGGTGCTTAGAGTACCTTGGTACTTGGTCTCTACTAGGTGAGCCTTGGTGTCTAACAGGTGAGACTTTTCACCTAGCAGAGAAAAGTCTTTGCCTAGTGGAACATACTTTCCTATATGAACAAGAGTGATAGATGTAAAAAAATAACCATGAAGGACCCTTGGGTTGACAGAGTGGGCTTAATATTTTATACAACTAGAAGCCAACTAGAAGAGACATTATTACATTGTTAAATTGTAATTACAGATAATCCTCAATTATAATACAATGGGATTATATCCCACCAATTTGGTAGCAAGTCATGAAGTATCCTATAAAAACGATTTTTAAGCAAACTATCAAGTTCTTAGGCCAACAAAAACCTAAGTAAACCATTATGTAACTGAACAATAACTTGCAAGATGACCAGGTGAGAGTCTATGCCTTAGGTGCCACCACTCATAATCTGCAGAAGAAAAACACAGAGCAAGATATCAGGAGGCTTCAAAAAAAGAGCACAAGCTAGTATATATGGATCAGACCATGTTTGTATCTCAGCCTGCCACTTACTTAACCAGCTGCAACTTTACGTCTCTTCAAGCCCAGTTTCCTCATCTGTATGACAGGGATAATACTAAACCTGCCAAGGCATTAAATGAAATACTGTTCTGTGATGCCTGTGCTCCATAACTAGATATCATAGTTGTTATTTGCCAACTCCTCCTTCCCAAGGCTCCTCCCCAGGTACCCAGTGAACTCCCTTCTGCCACAACTGCTGCCAGGACTTTCAGCCGGCTCAGCACAGTATCAACAGCAGCAGAAGTGCTGGCTTGCATGAGGCTGTTTGGACCCCATAGTTGGTTGGTCAGGCTGGCCTCGCCTGAGATTCTGTCCCCCGCCCCATCAGCTGCCTTTGGCCTTTCCCAGCTTTCCCAGTCCCACTCTTCCCCAGTTGCTGAGCTCAGGTACTTCCTGTGGAATTTTCCCCACCAGCCTCCCTTGGTCATGTGAGGGAGCCTCTCTTCCCCTATGAGAAGAAAGGGGCCAGGCCAGGGTGAATCCTCCCTTTAAGTGTTAAGAGGGTATGAACTGGAAGCTACCTATACCAAGAGGGAGAAGTTCTGTTTTGATTGATCCTGGTTGGGCATTTAATTTAAAATATTTCTGAAATCCAGCAAAAAAAAAAAAAAAAAAAAAAACCGCTAGTAAACTTTAGTAAATGTTCAACTCATTAGTATACAACTAAGGAAGCTTTTAGTGCTAGGTAGATGTTAAACTTCCAAATCTAACACTATGAGATGTAGCATTTTAAATAAATAAGCACCATCCACCCATTGCTTCATGACTGTATGGTGGAACAAATACCATTAAAAAATAACTACATAAGCTAGCAAGGGGCTCTTCACTTGGAAAAGATCTGTTGGAATTAAAATCCTGCAGGTCAGACTCTTTTAGGAGGCACTGATCCCTTACTTGAGGTCCAACACCAGCATCTCCCTCTGCCCCTGTCTGGAGACTGATTTCAAAACATTGCTATTGAGAGAAATACAGTTAAGACTCACTTTGAATTGGCAAATCTTAGGGTATTATGCTGGTCCAGCAGCCTAAACTTCACAAAAGTCTGTTTCTGCAGATAGGAAAACAGAAGGTATCTGGTATTTTGCTTTCCTGACCTTGCTTTGATTTTGTCTTTATTTAGCACTCATAGCCTTCACTTGCCGAACATATTTGTTAGTTAATTACCTGAGTTCAGTCAAAAAACATCAAGTGCTTTTCAGTTGCTAGGTGCCGTGCAGCATTAAAAAGGCAAAACTGTGAATTTAAGTTGTTTGTGATCTAGTTGTGAACTGTACAT